GTCGGTCTTCGTCAGCCATCGTTGTGCTGCCACGCCCCCGGCTGGCAGAGGGCAATGAGCAGGTTCTGATTCCGACTTTTGGCAGTCTGCCTCAGTCCCCCAACAGCCTGCGCGGCCCTTGGTAACCCGGGCGACAACGGGTATAATTTTCGATGGCGTCAATACCATGAGTGGCAGGTGGCTGAATTTTACGGAGACTTGCCATGGTCTCCAACCCTCCCGTTTTTCAACTAGGCTTGGGAGGGCAAAGGCGAAGTTGGCGTGAATTAATATGGACTTAACTCTGCATTTAGAGCAGCCGCATTTCTAGAACGTAAGGTGAAGGTGTTTCATGTCACCAGATGCATACGTTAGTCTGTTGAGTAGTATCTGAAAATTTAGAACTGCATCATTTTGTGGTGTTAGTGAAAATGGAACAAAGACCGCCGCAGGAATTGGCTAAGTTAACAAATAACAGGATGTTGTACAGCTCTTCCTTATGAAAATATTCAATAAGGTTTGTCAATTACGTGATTTCTCGTTTAGGCTACCAAATAAAATCATTGGATAGCAAATTCTTTTTCGTCAGGCCTCCAGTAAAATCATAGGGATCATCGGCTGGCTACATCACTGAAAAGTGATCATGGCTCATACTACATCACACCACTAAAATAACGTAAGCCGTTATTAATACTCGGCCTTTCAAGACAAATTGAACAGAAAGATAAACCAGATATGAGCTATCAATTTCGGTCATTAATGAACCTGTATGTCAGTCCACATCAGGCTTAGTTCATCACCACAAATTTTGTTTGTCACAATGGAAGAAGAGTTCGGGTACTTCTGTACAAGAATATGCAGAGACCAATTCACTTCCAGACCCAGTTTTATATTGTCTCTACTAATTAGTCACTGAAGGATTGACCTACAGTAATGGCATGCTGCACAGAACTCAAGTTGTCAACTTGTCCAGGGAGGACTAGATAAATGTTTTTATTCAGACGTTCAGTTTCCGAAAGTTTATCCAAGATATATATCCTATCTTCAATACCGCCGGTAGGATTAACATTTTACTGTCATTTCTCCGGATTTAAGAAGCATAGAGTACCGTCCTTTCACTTCTCATAGCATGGGAGACCATTTAAGCAGACCACTGCTTGGCTACTTTAGCGCCTGCAGTGCATGAGAGCGAAACAGCAACTCTTCAACTGACCAGATATGGAGTTTATTTTGAAACGTTTACAAGTACAACATCCAGAATAACGCTCAACACCACTGGGAATGCAATTCCTTACAACAGCCTTGCATCCTAAACCTTTCCTTCAGAGTTGGACTATTATTCGAGACTCACGTCCACATCTTCCGCCTATTCTCTGAGACAGTAAAGACCTGCTTGCTCGAACCATCGTGTTTTGGTTAAGACACTTCCTGTTCACCTCTGCCAGATTAGTGCAGGATCTGCAGATGTTCTTAAGATTGTTAATTATATTGATTTTCTTCTCGCTTACTACTCGCAGACTGATAGTTTTCAAAACCACCAGCGAGAAAAACATTCCTGTTATCACTTCTCCGAATTTAAAAGGCGTAGCACACTTTTCCCTTGCTTTTAGTAGTCCAGGGTATATTCGTTGGTGTTCGACACGTTTTTGTTCAACTCAACCAAGTGATTCTGTTTCTCGCCCATGCACTGGATGTGCTAAGATACCATGGAGCCTTGGCTTGGTTTAACGGTCCCATAGGCTACTTGAAGCAAGGGAAGCTTTGCCATGTGAATCTGGAGGATTGACAAGAAGAATGAATTCCCTTACTGGCGGTACTGAAAGTTAGCAAGGGTTTATTATTTGGTATATTTCACTCTGGAATGAGCTATATTCTTTGATGCTTGAACATGTTTTTAATCAACGTGGTGCACTGCTGGTACTAAAATTTTACGGACCCGTGGCCTGCTTTAGCGGTTCGATATGCCATTTGAAGAACGGAACGGTGCACCGCGCCGTGTAAATCAGGAGTTTTTATATGGGAACGAGTATTGGCATTCAATGGCAGTATTTCTGCGTTTTGCGTAACAAACATATTTGAGAAAATGAGAGAAAAACCTCTTGGCCTCTGTGCAGCAGAGAAGATGGATCGCGTAAAGCAAATCCGTTCGTACGCAAAACCGCGTATCTCGGTTTAATCAAAGCTAACCATCGAAACATCGCTAATTAGTGCGAAAAGTTTTACGCTGTTGAATTAAAAATAAAAAAATACAAACAAGAAAACTAGGCTATTTTGAAATTATAATTTATTCGAAGTTGAAAACATTTTTGGACAGTATAGCGGCAAGAGCAGCATCAGCAAAAGCTACAGTACTGCACTGCTGAAAAATTAATTTACATATCCGATGAAACTGTCTGAATACATATAGATCTAAATCGATAAAGTGGACATACATCTATACACGCAATCAAGAAAAGCTTACATTAAAAAACATTCAGATTCTGGTTCTCGTTATATCCGTACACACTTTCATCGCTATAGGCAATATAGAGAAACGAATCTTCTTCGTGGTGATCCTATAAATACCATATGCAAATATATATGCATAATATGCAAAAGGGTCAACCAGACAGCAGAACTGCATTAGATAACAAAAGTTCGTTTTCCATAACGGCAGTTAGAATTAAATGTACGCGTCCTTACCATGCAATTACAGAGCGACCCGTTTCTCGCATTCGTGCGATGACAATCATAGGTTACTATAAAATTGAGTAAGCTAGCCAAGGTCATTATAATCATCAGGACGATCGAATTAAGCCGGATAAATCCCAAGAACCCACTGACTGCAAAATCTTAGATTTCACAACGCAT